GTCTGGTTTATAATCAGTGTTAAATTTAAAAAAAAAAAACAACTTTTTTTTGGCTGGACCACACTGCTTGCGAGATCTTAGTTCCCCAATGAGGGATCAAACCCAGGCCCCAGCAGTGAAAGCTCCAAGTCCTAACCACTGGACTGCCAGGAAACTCTCAAATAAGTGTTTACTGAATGTCAAAAGGTTGCGATTGCAGGCTGGGAATAGCATGAGGGATTGCTACTGTCATCTCTAGTTAAGAGGTGATGTCCTGGACTGAAGTCACTGTGGTCGATTGGATTTGCAAGCTCTTTAGAAAGTGCAATCTCCAGAACTTGGAGATAAGAGGTGGGCAGTTAAGAGGAATGGGCTTCCCAGTTTGGGGTTGGGGTTAGGCAGAGGACAGTAATATTAGGTCATTGGGGTGAGGAGCATGGAGTGAACTTGAGGATGAGCTAGTAGATGGATGTGCCTGCAGGGCAGCCAGGTGGCAGCTGAAGCTCACAGGAGTGTGAGCTTGGAAGCAAAGTGCAGGCTGCTTCTCCTCACTGATACTGAACATGCTCACATCTTCTGAGATACAGAGAAGCTCCTGGAAATCAGGAGGGGTTCTGCTGTGGCCGGAGGTGGAATGCTTGACTTATCAGTTGTGCCTGTTCCCTGGGGGAGGAGTTAGTGTGAAGAAGGTCAGTGAGGCCAAGGATTTGGGGACTAAAGCTGAGGATTCCTGTCTGAAGCATGAGAAATTTGGTGGGATAAGGAGGAGATGGGAGTTTGACGAATTCATGGTTGAGCTGAGTATCTGGGTAACTGACAAGGGGCTCAGAGAGCACTGAGAATACAGCTGAAGCTGAGAGCAAGCTCAAGCCTGCAGGATTGAGTGACCTAACACATTCATAAGCTACCTGGTGAGCAGTTCCCTTGCTCCCTGTCTCCTCTTGGCCCATGAGAATTAGAGGAGGGGTTCTGATGTGGCTCTTCACCTCTCTCCAGGTGAGGGGCCAGATGTCCTGGTATACACCTTGGATTTCGGTGGACATCTGCGGATGATGAATCGAGTGCAGAACCTGCTTGGCCACTATCTTATCCATGGGTTCCGAGTGCGACCAGAACCCAACGGAGACCTTGACTCGGAGGTCATGGTGGCGGCGTTTGGCAGCAAGGGCCTCCGAGTTGTGAAAATAAGCTGGGGACAGGGCCGCTTCCGGGAGCTGTGGCGCTCTGGCCTGTGGAACATGTCTGACTGGATCTGGGATGCCCGTTGGCTCGAGGGGAACATTGCCTTGGCCCTGGGCCACAACTCGGTGGTGCTGTATGACCCTGTGGTAGGGTGCAGCCTGCAGGACGTGCCCTGCACGGACAGGTGCACCCTCTCCTCGGCCTGTCTGATCGGAGACACCTGGAAGGAGCTGACCGTAGTGGCTGGCGCTGTTTCCAACCAGCTCCTGGTCTGGTACCCAGCAGCTGCTCTAAAAGACGATAAGCCCGTAGCCCCTGACCGACGGGTCAGTGGGCATGTGGGGGTCATCTTTAGCATGTCTTACTTAGAAAGCAAGGGCTTACTGGCCACAGCTTCCGAGGATCGAAGCGTTCGCATCTGGAAGGTGGGTGACCTGCGGGTTCCTGGGGGCCGGGTGCAGAATATTGGGCACTGCTTTGGGCACAGTGCCCGTGTCTGGCAGGTCAAGCTCCTTGAGAATTACCTTATCAGTGCAGGAGAAGACTGTGTCTGCTTGGTGTGGAGCCATGAAGGCGAAATCCTCCAGGCTTTTCGGGGCCACCAGGGCCGTGGGATCCGAGCCCTTGCAGCCCACGAGAGGCAGGCCTGGGTGATCACTGGGGGTGATGACTCAGGCATCAGGCTGTGGCACCTGGTAGGGCGTGGGCACCCGGGTTCGGGGGTCTCTTCGCTCTCCTTCAAGTCCTGCAGCAGGCCAGGCGTCCTCAAGGCCGTGACGCTGGCTGGCTCGTGGAGAGTACTGGCCGTGACTGATGCAGGGGCCCTGTACCTCTATGACCTCGAGGTCAAGTGCTGGGAGCAGCTGCTGGAAGACAAGCGCTTCCAGTCCTACTGCCTCCTGGAGGCAGCCCCGGGGCCTGAGGGCTTCGGACTGTGTGCCCTGGCCAACGGGGAAGGGCGCGTCAAGGTCGTCCCCATCAACACTCCGACTGCAGCTGTGGACCTGACCCTGTTCCCAGGGAAGGTGCACAGCCTGAGCTGGGCCTTGCGAGGCTACGAGGAGCTTCTGTTGCTGGCATCGGGCCCCGGCGGCGTGGTGGCTTGCCTGGAGATCTCTGCGGCGCCCTCTGGCAAGGCCATCTTTGTCAAGGAGCGTTGCCGCTACCTCCTGCCTCCCAGCAAGCAGAGGTGGCACACGTGCAGTGCCTTCCTCCCCCCGGGCGACTTCCTGGTGTGTGGGGACCGCCGGGGCTCCGTGTTGCTCTACCCCTCCCGACCAGATCTGCTCAAGGATCTTGGGGTGGGGGGCAAGGTTGGGGCGATTACCTCAGCGCCCGGAGCAGGCAGTGGTGAGGGGGAGCCCTCCTTGGCTGAGTGGGGCCCTGTGTCCACCCTCCCTTCTCTGCACGGGAAACAGGGTGTGACCTCGGTCACCTGCCACGGTGGCTACGTGTACACCACAGGGCGCGACGGCTCCTACTACCAGCTCTTTGTGCGAGGCGGGCAGCTCCAACCAGTGCTAAGGCAAAAGCCCTGTCGGGGTATGAACTGGGTGGCTGGGGTCCGTATGGTGGCCGACGGGAGCATGGTCATCCTGGGTTTCCACGCCAATGAGTTCGTGGTATGGAGCCCCCGGTCCCATGAGAAGCTGCACATCATCAATTGTGGCGGAGGGCACCGCTCCTGGGCCTTCTCCGACACCGAGGCAGCAATGGCCTTCGCCTACCTCAAGGATGGCGACGTGATGCTCTACCGGGCTCTGGGTGGCTGCACGCGGCCACATGTGATTCTCCGGGAGAGCCTGCATGGCCGGGAGATCACCTGTGTAAAGCGTGTGGGCACCATCACCCTGAGGCCTGAGTCTGGGGTGCCCAGCTTCTTGCAGCCTGACTACCCGGAGCCCGGCGAGCCTGTTGAGCCCGGCAGTGAGGGTCCTGGCCTGATAGATATCGTGATCACGTGCAGCGAGGACACCACCGTCTGTGTCCTGGCGCTCCCCACAGCCACGGGCTCAGCCCACGCGCTTACAGCGGTCTGTAACCACATCTCCTCGGTGCGTGCAGTGGCTGTGTGGGGTGTTGGCACCCCGGGTGGCCCTCAGGATCCTCAGCCAGGCCTGACCGCCCATGTGGTGTCTGCGGGGGGCAGGGCTGAGATGCACTGCTTCACAATCATGGTCACCCCAGACCCCAGCCCCCCAAGCCGTCTTGCCTGCCACGTCATGCACCTTTCATCCCACCGGCTAGACGAGTACTGGGACCGGCAGCGCCACCGGCACCGGATGGTCAAGGTGGACCCAGAGACCAGGTGAGGTGCTCGGCCAGACAGGAGGGGTGGGCGTGCGAGGGCTGCCCTGCGCCGCTGCGGCCAGGCTCTGAGTGGTGTCTGTCTGTTGTTCCTGCAGGTACATGTCCCTAGCTGTGTGTGAGCTAGACCGGCCTGGCCTTGGCCCGCTTGTGGCTGCCGCCTGCAGTGACGGGGCAGTGAGGTGAGTGTAAAGCACTGGTCCCCAACCTTTCTGGCACCAGGGCCAGTTCATTTGTCCGCGGTGGATGGGGGCAGTGGATGTGGATGAGAGAGTTCTGGTTTTGCCTGCTGTTAACCTTCTGCTTCCTGGTCTGGTTCCTGACAGGTCACAAACCGATACTGGTCTGTGGCTCAGGGGCTGGGGCTTCTTAGTGTACAGGACCCAAGGAGCCTGGAGGCAAAGGAAAGGATGTACAGATGTTCAGAGTGGGTTCTGAGCTGGACTACCCCCCGCCCCCCAGGCTCTTTCTCTTGCAGGACTCTGGGCACCGACTGCAGCTGCTGGCTGAAACCTTCCACCACAAGCGCTGTGTCCTCAAGGTGCACGCCTTCACACACGAGGCACCCAGTCAGCGGCGGTGAGAGGGCCTGCGCGGCGGTCCCACCTGGGCTGGGGGGTTCCTGTTGCCTTCCATCCCCCTCACCCAGCTGACTCTGGTTTCCAGAAGGCTGTTCCTGTGCAGCGCAGCCACCGACGGCAGCTTGGCCTTCTGGGACCTCACTACCCTGCTGGACCAAGGCTCCCCTGCCCTGGAGGCTGCAGCGGACCCTGGGCTGCCCTTCCGTGAGTAGCTACACTGCCACTGTGGCTGGCCCCCTGCCCCCTGCCCGCATGCAGCTGTGTCAGGCTGGGTCCTGACCACTGTCCTCTTCCTCCAGAGCTGGGCAGCCCCTGCCTGACTCTGCAGGCTCACAGCTGTGGCGTCAACAGCCTGCACACCCTGCCCACCCGTGAGGGCCACCTCGTGGCCAGTGGCAGTGAAGACGGCTCCCTCCACGTCTTCGTGCTTGCTGTGGAGATGCCCGAGCTGGAGGAGGCTGTAGGGGGTGCCGAGCTGCTGCCCCAGCTGCAAGTGCTGGAGGAGTACTCCGTCCCCTGTGCGCATGCTGCCCATGTGACCGGCCTCAAGATCTTAAGCCCCAGCCTCATGGTCTCGGCCTCCATCGACCAGCGGCTGACCTTCTGGCGTCTGGGGCACGGTGAACCCACGTTTATGAACAGCACGGTGTACCACGTCGCAGATGTGGCTGACATGGACTGCTGGCCCGTGAGCCCAGAGTTTGGCCACCGTTGTGCTCTGGGGGGCCAGGGCCTTGAGGTCTACAACTGGTACGACTAAGCCATCCCGCGGTGGCCGGCACGCTGGGCCTGGGGCCTGCTCGCAGAGTGATTGTCTGTGCCCATGCCTGGCGTGCCCAGAGGGGAGGAAGAGGCAGCCGCGGGTCCCTGACTCCAGAGCAGGCACTGAAGGTGAGTAGGGTGCCACCTGGACAGGCCAAGGGTACGCCCCGCCCCCTACTGCGGGACACCTTGTCACACAAACTATTTATTTTGCCTCTAGATCGCTAAAACAAATCCAGAATTTTTTTTTTCCCCTTTCAGTTGCTAACTTTGTGGACATTCCTGGATCCTAAGGCCTCTGTGGCCTTAAATGTGACTCAGCGGAGGGAGACCCAGCATGGCCAGCCCAGTGTGGAGCACTTCTTGCACGGCCCTCAGAAGCTGCAGACGGGCAAACATCTGACCGAACAAGTGCGGCTGCGGCTCCTGGAGGAGAGGAGGCGGCTGGTCTCATCCTTTGCTTTCCCGGTACCTCCCGCCCCCACCTGCCCTTCTGCCATGCACTTACCCCTAGGATGTGTACCCGGTTATAGTATGAGCTAAAGTCCATGCTGAGCTGTACCAGGAACTTGCATACCTAGAGACAAGAGACCAAACTGAGTCACTAGCCCACCCCTCCTTCTGTACCCCAGATCAGAATAAAGAGTAGTGTGTGCGGTGTGTCCTGCCCTTCCGTCCTCACCATCTCTGTGCGCGCAGTGGCCTGAAGCCCTGGGGCAGTGCAGGTCTGGGTCAGGGCTGCTGTCTGCCTCAGCAGGTCTGGGAAGGGGAGGATGCTGTTGAAGAGTAGCAACCACTCACCCTGTGGGGGAGAAGGGCACTGCGAGGGAAAGGCCCAAGCTTCCCACACATGTCAGCTACCCAGGAGGGGCACTCACCTCCTCACGCAGCAGGGAGAAGTCTAGACTGCTCACAGGCGGGAAGGTGGGGTACAGACCTTGTTCCACACTGCACTTGTAACCCTCAAAGAGGGTGGCGAGACGTGCACAATTATACATGACAAAGGTGCCACTTTTGCTGCCCTTGGTGGAAATGCTGCTGTCAGCCAGGGCCAGGAGTAGCTGAGGAATAAAGGCACAGCTGCACAGGAGGACCACTGCCGCACACTCTGTCCCCCAGCTCCAACCCCCAGCCCTGGTCCAGCAAGATTCCCAGGCTCACCTGACTCTGAGGGGCTGTGCTGAGCATCTCAAATTTAATGGTCGCCACAGAGAGAACGCTGAAGATTTCCGTCCAGGCTGGGTCTGAGAGAGTACGATCAGTCAGTCTCTGCAGGCAGAGGCCAAGGGGCATGTGTGCAAATGACCCCCCCTACCAGAAGCACAAGCAGGGGCTCCCAGGCGCACCTTGTTCCAGGTCCCTGCCATGCTTCACTGCTGACGCCTTGCACACCTGGGCGTGCCGGAGGCTGCATCGAGAAGAGAATGAGAGGGGGATGGTGGACAGAGTCCCCCCACCCCACTGCCCTGGCGTGCTGGCCTGCCTTCCAGCCTCACTCACTCGTAGTACTCGGGGGCAGTCAGGGTGCTGGGCGCACCAGCTGCTTTCACTGGGCCACAGACCAGGTGCTTCTGTCAGGAAGACAGCAGGGGTCAGCCACAGATGACACCCTCCAAGAACCTAACTGTGCTCCTGGACTCCCCCAGCCTCTGCCCTTAAGACCGCTGTCTCAAGTCGAGGGCCCTCTCCTGGCACCTGCTGCATATGCCTGAGGTCCCCCTCAAGGTCAGGTGTCACCTGGACCCATCAGCTACCAAGTGGGTTTCAAGGAATCCTCTCAGGTTGCAGTGAGGAGGTTACCATCACCTGTCTGAGAGGAGCCTGATGATCCAACTTCCACCAAAGCAGGTCCAACTTTTGTTGCTGGAACTCCTCCTCACAGCTCACTACGTGTAGGACCATGTAGCTACCTGCACCAGCATCTGGGGCCGCAGCCTATAGGGCAGGACAGTCACTGTCACGGAGATAACACACCCGGTTTGCCAGAAGCATACCAGGGTGGGGCAGTCACTAACCAGGCCTAGGGAGCTGTCCTCGGCCCCAGCCTGCACAGCCTCCTGCAGCTCGGCCAGCAGAGAGAGCAGATCCTCTGACACTGGGAAGAGAACACACGGCTGAGATTGGCCGGAGAGTGCGGGGGTGGTGGTGGTGGGGGCGGCGTCCCTATTCCGGCCCCGCTAGGACCTACCTACCCAGACAGCTGTCCACATTGGGGTCATAGCCAGCTGTTCGTCCCCGTTCCTCCATCAGTTCCTTCAGGCACACTCGACCAAGGGTGTCAGGGGGCAGGGCTCCAGCATCACGGGCAGGGGAGAGCTCTGCAATCGTGCGATTCCTCAGGGCTTCCGTCGTGGCTTTCTCTGAGACCGCGGGCCAGTCCACCCGCAGTTGCTGCAGGAAGGTCGGCATGTGCGGGTCCCGCACAGCGGGAACTCGGCGCACACTCACCCTGCGAAGCGAGGCGGCCGCCTCAGCCCGAGCACCTGGCTCAGCTCGCTCCGACTTCCCACTCGCAGCGGCACAGCCCGCCCCCGCCGGAAGCCATCGCGCACCTTCGTTCTGGGCCCGCCCTCACTCACCTGTGAGCTTGCAGAACTCGCGCCAGGTGGTCCGCCACGAGCACGGCACGGAGCTGGCTCAGGCGGAGGGCGCTGGGGCTGCCGCGCAGCGCCGGACAGTGCAGGACGACGCGCGGGGTAGGGGTGGTGAGGGCGGCGGGCTCGATATAGGCGGCCACGGAACAGAGCACGCGCTCGAAAACCGCGGACCGCTGCAACTGAAGCGCCAGTCCCGCGGGGGTCGGCGCGCAACGCTGCACCGGGGCCACGCCGGGACCCTGTAGGCCAACGATGGCGTGAACCACGCCCTCGGGCACCTGCGGGAAGCCAGGCAGGTGAGCGGGCCGCTGCGCTCCCACCTGTTTCCCGCCCACGTCCCCGCCATGCGCGAGCCTACCTGGTCGCCCCCAAAGCGCGCCTGCAGTGCGCGACGCGGTGCCAAGAAGTCTCGGGCACGCAGGTGGCGGGAGTGCGTCTCCTTGAACCACACGGGGCCGCCAGCCCCCAAGGCCGAGTTCAGGGCTCCCAGCGTCTCCTCTACCCCGATGCGCATGGCTACCGGAAGGGGCAGGCGGGACCGGAAGCAAAACTTCGAGGCGGGATTTCCGGGAAGGCCAATTGGTCGGGGCGAGGAGGCAGGGACTCCTGAGTGGACAGTGGACAGTTGCGCTCGCTCCATGGCCCCAGCCCTACCCCCGCGTGGTCCACCTGACTGGTCCGGACTAGGGTAAGAAATCTTGGGGTCTACTCCGGACTTGGGGCTCTCTCGCTGTTGCCCAGAGTAGCAACAAGGGAAAGAATCCACGCAATCCGGTGGGGCCCAGGCAGGGTTGTCTTACATTTATGTATTTGTATAACGTTTCATTTCCTCCATGTACACATGATCAATGGAGAAGGAAATAGCAACCCACTCGTTTTCTTGCCTGGAGAATCCCCATGGACCACCAGCTGGCGGGCCACAGTCCATGGGGTCACAAAGAGTTGGACACGACTAGTGACTAAGCACACATGATCAAAACGCCTAGAGTTACAAGTGGATTCTGAAATAGGGCAGGTAGCATAAAAGACACTTTCATGAGCTACTGAAAAAAAGTCACATTTTTAAAGGGAATTTGTGTTCTTCAGTTTCAGGTTATTTGCAAGCATTCCTTCCTTTGAGATAGGGGTTGTCTTTTACTCCAAATGTGTCCACTCTGAGAGAATTGCTGTTTTTCTTCTCTTGAATCTTGAATAATTAGAACCATCATAATAGTTTCCAGAAGCTTTTAATGCGTCTCCTTTAACCTGTTGTACTGTCACAAGGACCCTCCCATTTCCTGGTTTAGACTATGAGCCATTTCGGGTCAAATAAACAATGTGACCTGAGAAGACCCACCTTAAAAACAGTTCTCTGAGCGTCCAACTCCTACCTCTTTCCTCCTTCCGTTCAGGGCTTCTCAATGTCTTCACTTAACCCTTTTTCTCTCTTTTAATAGGGATGGGACGTGAGGCACTAGAACACTGTGCCGCAGGGCACTGACACCCAGCCCCCTGGTCTCTGCCCCGGAGCAGTGAGTAAACAGCTCAGGATGTAGAGGAACCGAGGGGCAGGAAAAGCTTGGCAAGACCCCCTTCTGGGCTAGGGCTGCAAGGCCCTGCTGGGAAGCTCCGAAAGAGCACTGGGCGGACACGACATTCCCGATGGCTTCTTGGGTGCCCACTCAACGGGAGTGATCGTGTCATTCCAAAGCGCTTTCCAGGCCTCACGAGCACGACCAGGGGATGGCTGCTAACAGGATTGGGGGTCTGGAGGCCAAGATGGGGACTTCAGCTACTCTAAATGCATTAAGACGGTTGGCGGTGGTTTTACCCCAGGAAGTGAAGGGCTATCTTTAGCGAGCTGCGGGCTGAGGCGGCCCTGTGGGACTCACCGCCATTGCAGCCCTATCCGGAGGCCCTGGGTCCTCCCTCCCTCGCCAGTGCTATCTCGGGCTCCAAAGGTGGCCACCGCCTCGGCTCTCTGACGTCTACGCCTGTCACTTCCAGCTTGAAGGCACACCTGAGAAAGAGACGGAAACCAGAGCGACCCAATAAAGTATGTCTGGGGGTCAGGGACTAGCCCATCCCACCTGGGTCGGGACGCTGCTCAGGCAGGAGAGCAGGGAACGAAATCCAAGCGCAGCTGGAATGCTCTGGAGACAACAGCTGCTTTTGGGATTCCGTTGCCCGCTGTCCAGCCATGGCGGGGCGGGGAGGGCGGTTTGAGAGGATTATCCTTCTCCTTAGGGAAATCAACCACCACCCCCCCCCCCATTCCTATCCCAGGAGGCGGACCCAGGAGTAGACGGTGAAACCAAGACGAATGGGAAAAAGCCGCTCACCTAAGCCCCCAAACAGGTGTGTGTGTGTGTGGGGGGGGGGGGTCCATCCCTGGGACCAGGTCTCGATTCGGATTAGATCCGCAGGGTAGAATTAGCCCTGTTGGTCCCATGCAGTCAGGGCCACTGTAGTGACGGCGGTGGGGCGGGCTTCGGGATCAGCCAAGAGGGAAGCGCGCCCGTGGGGTCGGAGAGGAAGTAAACCCTCCTCGGGGACTCCCCCGCACCCAGGGCCCTTTGTCCGGTGACGCTGCCAGTACCCGGAGCGCTAGAGGCCCCGTGGGTCCGCACTGCAGCGACGGGACTCCCGGAAACCCATTGCGACCATCCTCGGTTGTGCCGAGCCTCCCGCCAGCCCGGCCCAGCGGGTAGGAGACGCAGCAACGTGCCCCTGAAACCCACACACGGTGGGCGCGCGGAGATGCCGGAACCTGCGCGGGCGCCAGCGATTCTCACGCCAGTAGGCCTTCTGATTCGGCTCAAGACGCGAGGCACGGGATTCTCGGAGCGCGAGCGAAGTGCGCGACAACAGGGCGAGGCTCCAGCCGCTGTCTGCTTCACCGTCTGGTCCGGTTTGACCCGCTAGTCGCGAACAGCCGCTTGAAGTTCCCGACCAACGCGTCCCCTTCCGCTTACTCCGGCCGCAGAGTTGGAGCCATTTTAAGGCGAAACCCCCAGCCACGCCCCTTCGGGCTCCGGAGAAGCCAATCCAGGCTCAGCCACGCCCCGTGCGACTCGCGGCCGCGACGCCAACGGTCGCGCGGGTGACGGTTAGGGAGGGGCGGGACTCGGGGGGCGAGCGACGGAAACCTGAGCTGCCCTCCCGGCCCTCGGAACCCGAAGCTCTAAAGCTGGGATTAGAGGCTGGGGGGTTGTGGGCGGGAGCCACGCCCAGGCCAGGTGTGCGCGACTCCAACAGGTGTTCGGCCGCCCTCCCCCGGCCCTGGGAGCCCGGCGTAATGGCTGAGAGCTGGGGACCAGGTAGTGCCCTGCGGCCGGCCCCGCCTCCAGGTGTCCGGCTCCCCCAGGGCGGCCTGCGGGCGCCCGGGGAGGGGCGGACGGCAGGTGCTGACACCGGAGCCGCTCTGGGGGACGGGGCCTCCTGGGACCGAGGCCCCTGGCCCGCTCCCTCCGTTCTCCCGCGCTGGGCCGGCCGAGCCGCGCGGTGTCCTCCGCGACGCTGGGGGCGCTGCAACCGCGCTGGGCTGGGGACGCCACGACCTCGTTGACCCTGCGCCAGCCTCCCTGCGCGCCGGTCCGCCATGACCGCAGCGTTTGTGCTTCGGAACCTGTACCGTGGGCGACCCGCGCTTCGCTGTCCGCCCGCGGAGCTACCATGGTGAGCCCGGATGCGGTGTCCCTGACCACCTACCCCACGGCCGGCCATTCCCGGCCCCCTGACAGTACTTCTCCGCAGGGCCCCGCAGCGGGGGCATCGGCTCACGCCGGCGGATGACGAGCTGTATCAACGGACGCGCATCTCACTGCTGCAGCGCGAGTCCCCGCTCGCCATGTACATCGACAGCTACAGCAGCCGCGGCTTCGTGGTCAACGGGAATCGCGTGTTTGGACCTTGCGCGCTCCTCCCGCAGTCGGTGGTGCAGTGGAACGTGAGCGCTTCCCTACAGTGAGGAAACAGAGAGCCGGAGTCACGGGCCTGCCTGTCCCTAGCAAACCTGGCTTTTCTTTCATCCCGCTCTGGAGCAGGTAGAGGGTCTGTGGGAAAACCTACGTGGGCTTATATTTAACTTGACGCCTCCCCACACAGGTAGGTTCCTATCAGGACATCACCGAGGAAAGCTTCTCTCTCTTTTGGATGCTGGAGCCCCGGATAGGTATTGGAGGAGGGGAGGGCTGAAGTTCTTAGCCCCAAAAGGGCACCCTCTCGACCGAGCTGGTTGTAGACTAGCCCTGCCCTTCCTTTCCTAGAGATTGTTGTGGTGGGCACTGGAGACCGGACTGAGCGGTTGCAGCCCCACGTGCTGCGAGCCATGAGGCAGAGGGGCATCGCTGTGGAGGTGCAGGACACAGTATGTCCGGGACGGGACCGGGGAGGGGAGCCCAGGCTGAGCCCTGGCCCGGCTGACGCTAGCTTTCTCTTTGCAGCCCAATGCCTGTGCCACTTTCAACTTCCTCTGTCATGAAGGCCGAGTGACAGGAGCTGCTCTCATTCCCCCACCTGGAGGGACTGCACTCACATCTCAGGCCCAAGCTGCAGAATGAACCACCAGAACTTAACCTGACTTGTCCAGGAGGGCCTTGTCACCTTCTGCAGAATGCAGGGGTGCCCAAAGCTTTCACTAGCCCCTACCCTTTGGCACTGTAAGACTTGTTTTGCTTGCCAGCAAATTAATAATTTAAGCCACTTGTCTGATTTTGTACTAGGTATGTTGCTGGCCAGGAGCTGTTGGCTCAATGGGTTCTTGGAAGGGGTTGTGAACGAACCGGTGGGTCATGGCTTGGCCTCTGAGAGGCCAGGGGACAATAAGGGCACCTGTTCTAAACTGTAGGTCTGTCTCCTTGCTCACATACAGATTTGAGGGGAACTCTGTGCTTCCTCCACGATGTCCCTTAGAGATTTACATTAGAGAATACATGAAAAGCGAAAGTGTTAGTCACTCAGTCATGTCCAACTCTTTGTGACCCCATGGACTGCAACCCACCAGGCTCTGTTCATGGAATTCTCCAGGCAAGAATACTGGAGTGGGTTGTTATTTCCTTCTCCAGGGGATCTTCCCCACCCAGGGATAGAATCTGGGTCTCCCACATTGCAGGCAGACTCTTTACCAACTGAGCCATCAAGGAAGGTTCAGAGAACACATATGTGGGTCTAAACCTGGTCCCATGTGGCCAAACTTTGAGCTAGCAGGAGGTCCTGTGGATGCCAGTCCAAAGCCCCATGGACTTTTCCATAACCCCCTGTAAATGCCCAGAGTCAGTTCTCAGTGTGAGACTAAACTCTTGGGTGCCAGAGCTGGTCTGAACTGCCTTTTGAGCTACCCTAGGAGGAGCTTTTTGAATCTAGTTAGCAACCCCCACTTCCAGGTCCTTAGAGCATCCTTATCTCAAGGCCAGAGGCTTTCTCTGGAAGGGCAGTGTTGTGTGTTTGTGTGTCTGTGACAGCAGCAGCTGCAGAGCCCCACCTGTTGACCTCAAAGATCAGGCATCACTTTTTTTCAAATTTTTATTGAAAAATCGACGGGGTGTGCTGTATAATCCCTTTTCAGAAAAGACGCTTCTCATACCTGTTGGCAGAAGAACCAGCTGTGAAATGAGGGCAGGAGGATGGAGGCAGGGGAGAGACCTCTATCCCAAGGACAGAGGAGTAGAGAGGGTTGGCCACTTACGAATGGAGGCTGTGGACACCACCTTCCACCTGGGCTGAGGATGTTCTCTTCTCAAATTTGAGCTCCCCAGAATACATCATGGCTCTGAAGAGGGGCAGATGTCAGATGTGGACAGCTGGCCCTGGGCCAGCCCCTCTACCCAAGGTCCCAGCTCCCTAAGCTTACCGGACTTGGGTCAGACTCTTGGCACCAATATCCTGGCAGGAGTGCTGGATGCCAGCAATCAAGTAGGGAACAAATTTGTGGATGGATCCTTTATCCTGAACAGCCCCAGACACCCCCTGGGCCACCTTGATTTTGTCTGCTTCACTGCAGGGAGAGGCAGGGCAACATGGGCAAAGTCAAAACATGGATGATGATGCTGGTACAAGGTTAGCATGGGGTAACTGACCTGCCTGTCCCACCTGAAATATCGGTTCTGGCTGCTGAGATGCTTGTCCATGGCATCAAGAGAACCCATACCACGGTATTTCTTTAGCCGGATTCCATCAGAGAAGAAGTACTCGCCAGGGGCCTCAGTGGTAGCAGCCAGGAGGGAGCCCATCATAACTATGGACAGAAGCAGTAATGGGGGAAGACCCGAATGGCATCAGGGAAGGAGTCCCACCAGGCTTCCTGAGTGTTGGGTCTCACCTGTGGAGGCTCCAAGGGCCAAAGCTTTGGCAATATGGCCCACATTTTGGATTCCTCCGTCAGCAATGACAGGAACACCAAAACGCCGCGCGTATTCTGACACCTTGTAAACAGCTGTTGCTTGGGGCCGCCCACAGGCTAGCACTGTTGAGACATGGAGGAACAAATGGAGGGCTGGAGTTAGTGGGGACAGGCAAGAGGCTCTGGTGCCACAAATCAGCATCCAGGAGCTCTCAGCTACACCTGCTAAGAGTCTTGTCTGGGATAGCTGCTGCCCCGTCTGCCTTAAACAGTACAAACAGCTGTGATGGCCTCCACTCACCCTTGGCGTGTGCGCGTGCATAGCCCAGGGCAGCCTCAGGCACGTGCAGTCAGCAGCCAGGAAAGCCCCACCCAATTGGTATCAGATGGGGTAGGGGTCACCGTGCAGTTAGTACCCAGAGACCCGCCCCTTGCTCCCTGCATGGTGGGCTGCTCAGGCAAGATCAGGGCAGTGGTTGTGTGGAAAGAAGAGTGGAGCCCAAAGTTGGTCCTGAAGCTGTGCCTACTGCAGGAGATGGGGGCAGAGCCGGGCCTACCTGGAGAAGGGCCTGCCCTACAAACACCCCAGAAAAGGAGGGAGCTGTGTTCTCGAGCAGCTCCCAAACCATGGTCTGTCATTCAGTCTGCCCTGCCCACCCGCCAGCACCAAACACCCCGGAGGCTACAGCTACAGTCAACCAAGCAGCCGGGCAGTGGGCAGCTGGGCCGGCCAGTGGGCCGGGCCGGACTTACTATAGCAGCCCGTGACAGTAGAAGGGCATTTGGGGCTGTGGGACTTTATGTCTGGAGGGATCTTGGGAGCCGCTAAATAAAACAAACAGACCAGAGTTTAGAGAGGGCATGGAGCAGGAGCGGGGAGGCCAGGCAGGGGAAGTGGCAGGTGAAGAAGGACGAGAGCTCGTCTTGCTGTTTTACCCATCCAAGGGGCCTGTGTGGCCCTAGGGTTGCCCCTACTGGAGAACTCAGTGTAACTCCTGAAAGAGCACTTGGCTCTGGCGCATGTGGGGCTAAGGGCCCTGCTAAAGCCTGGTCTCTGAGGCCTTTGCCAAAGCATTTTCTTACCTTCCTGAGTGATGCAGATGGAGCCGCTGCCCATTCCCACCCGCAGGGCATCTACACCAGCATCAATGAGGTTCTTGGCCTGAGCAGCTGTGACCACTGTAGGTAGGAACAGGGAAAGGCTCATGTGAAGGTCTACATGGGACCTAGCTCCCCAACTCTTGCCCCACATACTTCAGTGCCCTCTCTTGTCTCACCATTGCCTCCAATGACTTGGAGACTGGGGTATTTCTCTTTGATGTACTTGATCATGTTCATCTGGAAGATGGAGTTTCCCTGGGAAGAGTCCTGGGACAGGAATGTGGCCCCAGTGAGACTGTGGTACAGCAGCTGCTCCTACCGCCCCACCTTGCCTGTGCCGCAGCTCACCAAAACCACTACGTCAACACCAGCCTGGGACAGCAAGTCCAGCCGATATTTGTCATCCTCATGAGTGCCAATGGCTGCTCCACACAGCAGCTGCTTCTTGGCATCTTTGGAGGCCAGTGGGTAATCTCGGTTTTTCTTCAGGTCTGTCCGGGCAATGATGGCCACCAGCTCATCATTTTCGTTTACAATGGGTAACTTCCCTGAGGGTAGGCAAGACATAAATCAGGACCTTGGTCTTTGGTTCCTGAACCCTTCCTACCTTGAGGACTCACCCTTCTTGCTACGCTGCAGAATTTCATT